GTGTGTGTGTGTGTGTGTGTGTGTGTGTGTGTGTGTGTGTGTGTGTGTGTGTGTGTGTGTGTGTGTGTGTGTGTGTGTGTGTGTGTGTGTGTGTGTGTGTGCAGCTTGCCTGTCGTTGGGCATCCTTGCCGAGACCGGAGAAGAGGACAATGGCGCCATCAGGCACTGCGCCGAGGATCGGCAGCACAACGCTTCCCACAATGTCTACGATTGCAGTGAATCGTGAATCGTGGAATTGGAATGAGTGGGGACAAGATACATAGGTATGTGCTTTCCCTCCGTAGTACGAACAAGGAAATGTGGCCAGCCACGAGACCCGCACACACACGCACACACACACACAAACACACACGCACACACCTACACACACGTGCACATGGTGTCCTGCTGACCTCGCATGGATGGCACGAGGAGTAGGAGCTCGCTTCCATCGGATATGAGATTCGAGGCGTAAAACAGGACGTACGCGTATGCGAACATCAGGAACAGGACCTGCACGAAGCCATATCCAGCTGTCCATGTGTGCGTGTGGGTGGCGGTGACGGACATGAGTTCTGTGAGTGACTTCTCGATGCAAGTATGGCAGTGTCACTACTGCACACACGCACATGCATGTCTTGATCGCACACGCACACGCACACACGCACACATACACACACGTGCTCAGTCTCACACACACACACTCACCCTCAGTCTTTCTATCTGTGCATGCCCACTTCTCGCACCTTCCCACTCCCCTGCACCCCTGCACCCCCCCCACACACACTCACACTCACACTCTGAGCAGTTGAGCGGGTCATTGGGCTGTGTGATGTTGTAGAGGGTGTGGTTGCCACCGCAGTTGTCTCCGCCAGGCAGGATGGTGGGATCAACAAACAGCTTTCCCAAGAACGACCCCATCGTGGGTGGTGATGGGCAGCGCTGTTGTCCTTATGAGCAGCACTGGACACTGCCGTCTCACGCCCAATCGAACGCTGGCAGGCTGGCTCACTGGTTGCTCGTTTGCTGGCACACTGATGTGTCTTCTCTCTCTCTCTCTCTCTCTCTCTCTCGCTTCTCTTGCTCTTGCTTGCCGATCAAGTTGAAGGCATGCGAGAGGACAGGAGCAGTTATTGCTGAATGCGTCGTTGGTTATTGGTTTGTTGTGAGCGAATTTCAGTTGCGGTCATTGCAGAATTTTGGTCAAAGCTATTCATTAAAAGTCGGTAACGAAGGCGGTGTCAGGCAACAACAAGGCAAGCAAGGCCTTGCTTGAACCTTGCCATGATGACTGCTTGCAGGACTGTCGAGGCATCCATGCACCAAGCAGCAGACGAGGAGACGAGGCAAGCAAGGAAGCACAGCAGAGCTGCGCGTGTAGCAAGCGCAAGCATGCATGAATGTGATGCATGTCGTCCTGTCAGGTCCAGCACAACAGCACAAGAGCACAGTCAGACACGCCGCCATCGCAACAACGACTTGAGTCCTCAAGTAGTAGGAGAGTAGGGCAGCAGGTCGAGAAGACAAAAGAAGGAGGCCGGCTGACAAGAAGCACAACAACACGGAAAAGGGGAGGGGAGGAAAGCGACAAGGGCAGGCAGAGGGAGAAGGGGGGGGGGGCAAAGGGAAAGATACAATAAAAGAAACAGAAAGAGAGAAAGAGAGAAAGGGAGAAAGGGGAGGGAGTGAAGAGTGACAAGGCATGAGCGAGAAGGGGACACGAGAGCACAGGCTCGAGGAGACAAGGGAAGGGAAGGGAGCAGGGATTCGAATACTAGAAACGAGCTGCTGGGGATGATAATGCAAAGCAGCAACACCACAATCAATCTCATGATGGGTGATGACGAGGAAAAAAGGGTTCAGGTTCAACGACAAGGAGGCAAAAGAGGGCAAAAGAGGGCAAAAGAGGGTTGCCGGGACTACACGCTTGACACGAGGACATGTCTCCCACAGCGTCGCTCTTCAGGTTTGGGAGCAGAATGAGTAGTGGTAAGTTGATCGAAGGAAATGCTGACATAAAGTCTTCATTCAAGTGTCGGCGTACAGTTGTCTAGGTGTTCACCGCACAGTGTTCCACCCTGTATGGCGTGTTGTAACATTTCCGAGAGGCGTGGTTTCACGGCCGCTGCAGCTTTGGGCCTTTGCAGTTTGGAACGGTAAAAGTGAGCGTTGTTTCGCACTCGGCCTCGTACTTGACGTAGCTCAGGAGCTGTTCTGGCAGCGGGAGGGTGTCGAGCTTGTCAAGGGGCGTGGTCGCCCGAATCAGCTGTCGGCACCGGTCCGCCAGCGACGGCAGCCGTTGCACTGCAGGTGGGAACGGAGAAGAAGGAGGGCGGGGGTGGAGGAGAGTGAGCAAGTTGGAGTCTTGATGACGCTAACACACATTTACAGTGGGCAGCGCGACTGTGGCATTGATGCGTGCAGATTTTCGATCGCGAAACAGCTGTGGTTGCGCTCACTTGGGCATCTGCACGCACCCTAATTTGCACATACACACATACACTCACATTCACACACACTCGCACATACACACACTCTCATACTCACATACATACACACACTCTCATACTCACATACTTACACACACTCTCATACACACACATGCATGCATGCTGATCAAAAACGCACTGGCTTGTTGGATGACGCGGGCACTCTCTGCCTTCTTGTTGGCGTCTGCAACCTGCGACTGACACACGCACGTCAGGTCGGAACACCTGTATTGTTCGCGCGCGTAGTCGAGTGCAAGCCTGTTCTCGTTGCCATGCTTGCGGCCCCAGGCAGACTCAGTTGACCTGATCCAGGGGCTGCACCCGAGCGACAGGAGAAGTTTCACACAGCCCACGTGGCCCATGTATGACGCATAGTGCAATGCTGTGCAGCCCTCCCTGCACAAGTGGAACAGGTGGTGTCGTGGATGGTGTCGTGGATGGTGAGAAGACGTGGAAAGGTGTGTGTGTGCGTGTGTGTGTGTGTCTGTGTGTGTGTGTGTGTGATGTCGAGCAACACGGCAGCGCAACAAGGCTATGGTGTGGCACAAAAAAGGCAGAAACACGAAGACAACCAACACAACAACGACGACAACTGCTTGAACGTACTCTGTGAGTGTGTTTGGGTTGCAGCCCCAGCGGGCAAAGAGCCTGACGCAATCCGCGTGCCCGTTGAAGGCGGCAATGTGCATGGCAGTGGCGCCATAGCTGCAACGCATCAACGCGGAAACCACGGGACAGGTGAGAAAGGTGAATGTGCATAGTGGAAGCGAAAGAGAGAGAGAGAGAGGAGTGGCAGCGCATGCAGAACACACAAGCACACACGCGCGCGTACACACACACACACACACACACACACACACACACAAAACAAAACCGCGTTTGGGCCGTTGACAGAAATGCTTGCATGCAGGCAAAATGCGGTGCAGGCAGACAATAAACGCACTCGACTTGGTGAAAGGGGTCAGCGCCAGCACGCTTGAGCATGGTGAGGCAGAGGATGTGACCTCCCTGTTGGCGTGTGCGTGTGTGAAAAGGAGTGAGTGGGTCGGTGTGTGGCGTTGGAAGGTGCAGTTACATGCATGCAGCATCACAGCGCGCTGGCCGGGGGAACAATCACCGGAGTTGCATGCATGTTTGTTATCCATGACAAACATAAACATGCTTGCGTGCAGGCACGCCAAACAGTGCACTGCCACGCCGTGACTTACCCTTGCTGCTTCAAACATTGGGGTTGCGCCGTCCTTGGCACGGGCCATCGGGTCGCCACCAAGACGGATGAGCGTGGAGGCGGCGTTGATGTGCCCACACCGCGCTGCGTGGAACAGCGGCGTGCACCCGTGCATGCTGTGATGTGGGAGGCGTTTGGGGGGGGGGGGGAGAAGTGTATGGTGAGGTCGGTGATGGGTTGAAGGCAGAGAAGGAAAGGGGGGGGGGGCGAAGGGGAAACGGGATGAAGGAATGAGATGCGAAGTGGAAAGAGGCAAGCAGCACTTACGCATGCCTGCAGGCAAGCATGTCGTGTGAGGAAACATGCTGCGTGCAGCTCACCTTCTTGCATCCACGTCAGCGCCGTGCTTTATAAAATATTTGATCACGTCATCACTCCCCTAAAGTCACAAAGGTGGCGCGTGTGCGTGTGCGCGATGGGATGAGCCATGATTAGGGGCGCCAAGACAAGGCAGACGAAGGAGAGTACAACGACACACACACACACACACACACACACACACACACACACACACACACACACACACACACACAGTGTCGCTTACCGCTTCTGCAGCGTAGCAGAGAGGGGTGAAGCCCTCATCGCTTCGCTTGTCAACAACCGCGCCTCGCTCCACAAGCAGCTTGACAGTCTGTGTAAGGCAATGCCAGTGCGCGCAAAGTGGCGATGATGGTGAGTTGGGGAAGAGCAAACGGGCGCATGCTGCTTTGCTTGCATGCAAAGCACACACCACACACACACACACACACACACACACGCACGCAGAGGAGCTCACCTGAAGGTTGGATGTACACGCTGCTACATGCCTGCATATGATGATGGATGTGCGTGTATGCGCGATGATATGCCCAGTGAGAACCCAAACAGCGAGCAAACATGACATGGCAGCAAGGACATGGCAGCAAGGACAGATGGCATTCACATGAGACACACACACACACACACACACACACACACACACACACACACAACGTACAGAGCAGAGAAGCCGGCAATGTTGTCTTGGTCAATGTCAACGCCGCTGTCAAGCACGAGCTTCATGCCCTGGTTTGGCGAGGAGAAAGCACAGAGAGGCAACGTGAGCACGGTTCTTGGCGCCAAAGGCAAGCAGGCAGGCAGAAGTTGCGCGCGCTAAACACACACAACAAACACACACACACACACACACACACACACACACACACATACACACACCTGCACGTTGCCGGCGTTTGCGAGGAGGTAGAGGACGGTGCAGCCCTGGTCGTTTGTGGTGCTTGGATCAAACAGCCCCTTGTTGATGAGGCGACGCAGCGTGTCAATGTTGCCCGTCTCAGCAGCGAGAAAGGCCTCAGCGGCGTGGGCGGTGTTGGAGGCACGGCCCTCGCTTGTGCCTGCCGTGGCTGTTGTGGATGCAACGTCGCTCATGGCTTGGTTGAGTTCGGTTGTGTAGATGTAGATGTGCGTCGGTGTAGATAGATGTATAGATGTATGGACGATGTGTCGCGTCGAAGCTGTGGTTGCTGGTGGAGTCTGTGCGGTGGAGGGTGTGGGGTGAGTGATGCTCAGAAAGGCTGGAGGAGAGACGGAGTTGCTTGGATGCAAACCAACAAAAAAAAATGAACACCACCACCTCAACAGGCCAGAACAAAACGGACAAGAAAACGAGGAGGAGGAGGCGGAAAGGAACAAGTCAAGCAAAGCAAGAGGGCAGCAACAAGACCAAGCGGCGCGATAAGGAACGATACACACGCACACACACACACGCACACGCACACGCACACGCACACAACAGGTCGAGGCATTGGCACGCACCAGGATGCAAGATGCGAAAGGTTGGCGTGGTTGGTTTGCTCACCTCGGTGATTGTTTCGCGGAACGATGGTCGATATGATGGGAGATGGAAATGTCACGCGTGGTATTGGGGACGATGATTGAGGCGGCAGCGGGGAGTTGCACACACGGACAGACAAGTGCAGCTTCGCGCCAACTCGCTGACACTGTGGTATGTGTCTTGGGGTTGTCAGGGTTTCCTACTCGCGTCCACGCAAGCAGTGTGTTGGTTGGTTTGGTGCGAACGAGGTGAGTGGGTGGTGTGTGTGCGGTGTTTGGGGCCAAACGCAGCGCAGAAAGGGAAATGACAATGTGTAATGGACCTCAAGCAAAACCATGCTCATGAAACCCGAAACACCCCCCCCCCCCAGTCACACATCACATTCCTTCACCAAAGTCGAGCGCTGCTTGCTGGTCAACGTTCGAAACACCAACCAACCAACCAACCAACCAACCAACCCGCACACACAGCACGAACAAAGCATGTGACACACACACACACCACACCAACACGCAACGCAACCGTCAGCACGCACGCACCTCGCAGTCGCAGCAGCCGATTCTGGATTTGGATGAATGCCCGGAGGACACACACACACACACACACAGGATGCACTACCAAGACGCTGCGGCGGCCACAGACACACACGAAAAAGCAGCAGCAGATCAGCAGATGAGGCGGAGTCAAACCGCGCCAGCCTTGCTTCACTTGTTTTGTTTGTGTCGGCAACCTCGAACACACCAGCAACGCCGCTGCTGGGAAACGAAGGAATGAACAGGCAGTGGTTGGGAAAAGGCATGCGAAGCAGCCAGCCAATGCCAGCCAACGGTTGGCTGGAGCGGAAGCGCTGTGTTGCGCTGTTTTTGCAGCAAGTGGCGAATAACCAAGCATGCCGTAAGCATTGGCGGACGGGGACAAGGTTGCGAATCGGGACAAGGTATGAACGGGACGATGTGCTGGTGAATGGGGAACCACCCAGATTGTGTCGCGGCCAAGAACAAACTCCCGCATTGAGCTGCACTTGCATGTGTTGGTTGTTGTGCGCGAGCTTGCGAGCATGCTATGCGGGGCAAGGCAGGCAGGTACGCAACGAGGCGGAGGAGGACTTCGGGAACTTGACGCAGCCGAATTGAAGGAGAACTCCCGAGAACGGAATGAAACGTGTCGCAATCAAAAGTTTCGACGCGGTTGGGACAAAGAGAAACACGTGGCGATGAAGGTGTGTCGCGTGCAATTCGTGCAGTTCGGAACTCCGAAGTTTGCGAAGAGACGCGAACCACAAAAGTTCAAAACGACCAAGCTTTTAGACCTGAATTCAGTTGCACACAGACGTTCGACTGAGATCAGTTTTGGAATGCGACAGCGACAGCCAAAGGCAGGAAGCAGGCATCAAAACAAAGAAAGCAGCAGGCGATGAGCGCCAGCAGCGGCTTGACGGAGCTCGAGCAGAAGGTTGGTGGTGCCGCGGGTTGTGCGTTGGCAGTGCAACATCATGAAGAGAATGGTGCTGATGAAAGGGTGTGTGTGTGTGTGTGTGTGTGTGTGTGTGTGTGTGTGTGTGTGTGTGTGTGTGTTGGGTGGGGTGGTGTGGCAAGATCTTGAGAGTGGTTGTTTCAAACCCACACACACACACACACACACACACATACACACACAGCAAACGTCCCGTGTGTTGCTGGTCACATGTGTGTACGTGTGTGTGTGTGTGTGTGTGTACGTGATCGCTGGCTCACTCAATGCCATGCCATGTCACACCTTCACTCTCCACCCCTCCAACCCTCCCCCACCAACTTTCATTTGGAACAGCGCGTCAAGGAGCTGAGGGACGCCACACTCAAGTCCCGACACAGCTACCCCATCAGCTGGTCCTTGGCCCAGCGGTTGGTGCTCGCACGCAAAGCAAACCTGCAGAAGGCCATCGATCTCTACGAAAACTACATTGATCGCTTCTCAAAGCACAACCTCCTCACCATTGATCCCCGCGATCCACCCGTCTACGAACAGCTCATCTCCGGCAAATACTGCCTCCCGGTAAGCACGCCTGTCGAGTGGCAATGTGCGCAGGGCGCGACGTGCCGTGGTGTCGGTGGTCATGTTGTGAGCGGAGAGGATTGTCGATCTTGTTGATCTGCTCGCACACGCATGCGTGGCTTGCATGTCATGGATGGATCGCCTCACACGAGTGGGTTACCGACGCGCCGCGCGTGTGTGCTAGGGCACACAAGCGCTGGACGGGTCGTCGCTGCTGGTGTTTCGCGCCAACCTGCACACCGTCTCGCGCGGCCAAGTAAGCCTGCTTTCGCCCGCTGCAAGCGAGAGGCTGCTGCAAGCGATGGGGGTTGTTGTCCTGTGCTCTGTGGTTGCGTTGTGCCTGTGTCGTTCTTGGTGTCGGGGATGCTCACAGACGACAAATCGACTGCTTGTGATCACTGCTTTGTTTTGTTATTGAAAACGTTTTAGGATCATCATCAAGCCAACCTTGCTGCATGCTTCTTCCTTCTCACCGAAGCACAGGCAACGTCCGTTGTATGTGATTGCGTGCGCGTGTGCGTCTGTGTGTTTATGTGTGCATGTGTGCGTGCGTGCGCGCGTGTGTGTGTGTATCTGTCTGTCTGTGTGTCTGTGTGCGTTTTGCTTTCGATCGCGTGTTTGTGCTTGCTCCAATTGGCCATATGAGGGACAACAGCGTGGAAGGCGTGCCATGCTCACCCTGATGGATGCCGCTGACGCCTGTGCACCTGACACAATACAGCGTGCAATCACAGCGGCTTGGCGTGACGATTGTCTTTGATATGACCGGCGCTTCCTGGAGCAACATCGACTACGCCCTCATCAAGACAATGCTCAGCTTGCTCCAGGTGCTGGAGGGAGGGGGGTGTTGATGCGTATGAATCTTGTGCGTGCATGTGTGCATGTGTGTGTGTATGTTTTTTTTTTTTTGTGCTTGAACAGCCGTGGCTACTCATGCATTTGTCAGGATGGGTTGTTTGTTTGTCTCATGCCAATCGCATTTTCGCTCATCTGGGAACAACTCACACACGCTCACACGCTTCTGCTCACGCGTGTACAGAACGCGTACCCTGGCCGTCTTGCCGGCGCATATGTGTTCAAGTCTCCACGATGGATTCGGGTACAGTGACAGATGCTCAGTCAGACACAGGGCGTGCTGTACACTTTGAAGCAGTGCAAGTGAAGATGCTTCAAGCTACTCGCCTCAACACCAACACCAACACACACACACACACACACACACGCACACAGTTTCCCCACACAGTTGCACACACTCACACTCACACTCACACTCACACTCACACTCACACTCACACTTACACACACACACACACACTTACACACTTACACACACGCACACACACACACACGCACACACACACACACACACATACACACACTTAAATACACTTACACACACGATCACACACACGATCACGACCAGACGATGACGTCGCTGTTCTGGCCGTTCATGAAAGCGAAGATGAAGGAGCGCGTCAAGTTTGTTGATGCGTTGGATTCGTGTGTTGCGCACCATCAACTCCCAGACTTTCTCGGGGGTCAGCTCGCTTACCAGCACAAGGTGGGTTTGGATTGCTCGGTTGGGTTGTTCTGGTTTGTTTGTTTGATGATTTGTTTGTATATTTGTTTGCTTGGTTTTGTTCGGCAGGACATTTCATTACGTGTTGACACGCATACACGCACACACACATGCGGCATCACACCCTCGCACACACACACACACACAAACACATGCACACTGCTCCCTATGTGTGTTACACCTCCACTTCGGCGCGCGCGCGCGCGTGTGTGTGTGTGTGCAGGCGAGCGTGGATCGGCTGGTGACGCGTTTCGTATCTGCTGTGAGCGCAGCAGCGAAGCAGCAAACGCGTGCAGCCCACAGACAACAGCCACTATCACAACAACAACAACAGCAGCAGCAGCAGCAACAACAGTTGCAACAACGCCGACAGCAACTCCACCAACGGCAACAGCAGCACCTGCGTGGCCAAGCGAGTCAAGCACAACGACAACACCACCACCAACACCAACAGCAGCAGCAGCAGCAGCAGGAAGTCACTGGTGGCGGACTGCGCGCACGACACAAGTCAGTCGACGACGACCAACAGCAGCAGCAACAACAACAACAATCACAATCACACCACCAGCAGCAGCAGCAACATGGCGGTGGTCGATCAGATCGGTTGATGCGACGACAGCAGCGGCAACAGGAGGAACTGGATGCACAGCGGCGCGCACGTATGCAGCGAGACGAGGCATTGAGGCAACAGCAACACGACCACCACCACCAACAACATCACCACCAACACCAACACCACCAAAAACATCAGCATCAGCGAGCGGGTCGTGTGCAATCGCCAGAACACGTTCGACCACCGTCGCATCACGGCAGCAAACAGAACCATGGCGCCACGCACCCACACGTCCGCCCACACCCGCGCGCACATCCGGCCCCGCACCAGCCCCAGCACCACCCCCGTCGTCACGTCACAGCAGCTGCGAGCGGTGGTGTGGATGGTGGTGACAGACATCGCCAACAACAACAACAACACCAGCACCAGCAGCAGCAGCACCACCAGCACCAACAACAACAACAACAGCAACAACACCACCACCACCAGCAGCAGCAGCGCGGGCAGCAGGGTGTAGTGGCGGCGCAACATCGTCAGCCGCACGCTGCTCACGCGCAACCAAGCAGTACACACGCAGGGCCGACACAAACACCGCGCGCACACGCACCGCAGATGAATGCACCGCAGCAGCAGCAGCAGCAGCAGCAGCAGCAGCAGCACAGAGGCGCTCGCCATTCATCGTCACCACCATCATCATCATCATCGCTGTACAAGCCATCGTGAGTGCACATTGTTCTCCGTGCAATTGCAGTGCTGATGTGGTTGGTGTTGTGGTGGCTGTGCGTTTTAATTGTGTGATGCATGAACCATCGTGGCTCACACCAAAACGTCTGTCGCATGCGTGCGATTGCGTCAGGTCGCCCTACATTGTTTCTGCGGATCAACTGCAGCATTTTGTCGATCACATGATCCAATCGGTGGGGAGGACCACACGTGCATCGCCTCGCATATTCATGCACTGCGTGTGTGTATGTGTGTGTGTGTTGTAAAGGTGCTTGCGTTGAACTGCCGCTTTCTGCCACAAACTCACGTGTGTGTGTGCGTTTGTGTGTGCATGTGTGTGCATGTATGCGTGTGTGTGTTCATTAGGGCGAGGCGCTGTCCCACTTTGCAATGCTGCAACTCGATCAAGACAGAATCGACTTCACCGCTGCATCGTACGCAATGCGTTTTTGCGTGTATTGTGTGTATTGCGTGTATTGTGTGTATTGTGTGTGTGTGTGCTTGCTGGTGGTACACCTGTGTTTCATGTCCACTGATCGCGCCATGCGAACCACACACACACACACACACACACACACACACACACACACACACACACACACACGTAAACACACACACACACGTAAACACACACACACACACACACTTGACTGCGGCATGCAGGCTTCCTGTGAATGTGCGCAAGAATCGATATGCAAACGTGCTGGCGAACGAGCACACGCGTGTTCGCCTCTCCACGCCCACGCAGGAGGTGAGACGTGGAGCAATGTCATGCGACTGGCGGAGCCGTTGTGACGTATCATGATTTATACTGTGACGAAAGGCCGGCATTCGTACTCAAACACACACACACACACACACACACACACACACACACACACACACACACACACACACACACACACACACACACACGCACGCACACACACACATCTGCGCATTCACACTTCCCCTCTTCCAACTGCGCGTTTCAGCCTGGCGGCGACTACATCAACGCAAACGTCGTGGCCGGGTTTTCAGACCGGCGCCAGTTCATTGCAACACAGGGCCCACTAAAGACGACAGCAGCGGCGTTTTGGCAGATGGTGTGGGAGGAGCAGGCAAGCGTCGTCGCCATGACGACCCAGGAAGTCGGTACGTAAGCTCAGAGACGACGAGTGGCTGAGGTGACTGAGTTGTGGTGAGGGTGGTTGTGGTGTGGATCTGTATACTTTAGAGCTGGTGAGAGCGTGAGTTGTGTTTGTGAACAGGAACGAAATCGGGTTTGCTCTGTGGCAGACGCGGTGGTGGTGCTGCTGCTGGTACCCACCTCCTTGCAACGTTTCGTTCAACGCCATGGCCTTGACACGTTGATATCACACTTGTGGTTTTGCTTCCAAACACACGCTGTTGTTGTTGCCATGTGTGCTGCTGTTGTCGTTGCTGTTGAACAGAGGGTGGCCGGAACAAGTGTTATCGGTACTGGCCGAGCGAGCTCGATTCGACGCAGACTTACGGCGACGTCGCCGTCACACTCACCGAAGTCAAACACGCAGACGAGTGAGTCAATGGGGATGTGTGCGTGCGTGCGTGTGCATTTGCATGTGTGCGTGTGTGCAAGTGTGTGTGTGTGTACGTACGAGTGTGTATGTATGTGAGTGTGAGGTGAAATCATATGTGTGCACATTTTCGCGTGCGATCTGCACCTGCTGCATAACCTCGCTCATCATCCTCAACCCTTTGCTCCGGTTGAACGCAATGCAGGCGGTTTGTTCATCGACTGCTCTGTGTTCAGCACCGCAAGACGGGCAAGACGCGATGCATCGACCACTTGCAGGTGACACGCATGCGAGGGTGTATGTGTGTGCATGTGTGTTTGTTTGTGTTGTTTGTGTTGTTTGTGTTGCTTGTGTATGTGTTGTTTGTGTATGCGTTGGTATTTTGGTGGCGCCACCCACATCTCACAACAATGTGATGCTCACCCAACATCCCGCGACATCCCGCGACATCCCGCGACATGCCATCTTCGTCCCCTCTCCGCCACCACACCTCCGCCAGTTCACGGCGTGGCCAGACCACGGCGTGCCAGAGAATCCAGCCCCGTTTCTCGACTTTCAGTCGCGCGTGAACAAATACGCCAGACTCGGGGCGGTGGGTGACAGCAGGAGGGTGTAAAGGGATGGTGGTGGTGGTGGTGGATGATATGCAGGGAGGATTGGTGGGACGTGGGTTGACCAAGCACTGCCGCACATGGGGCTGCTGACACTTGGTAGCGTGCTCACAGACACACAGACACACATGTTCACATGCACACACACACACACACCAACACACACGCACGCCAACACACGCACATACACACATACACGCCGCACCACACCAGGCCAAAGGGCCGATTGTTGTGCACTGCAGCGCTGGCATTGGGCGCACGGGCACGTTCATCGCTGTTGAGATTGCAAAGCAGCAGCTCGCAACATACAACTGGTGAGGGGTTGCAGGTTGGTTGGTTTGCCGTGAACGTGACGTGGTGGTGAAGGGAGTGCTGGTGACACGCACGTCAATCACACACACACACACACACACACACACACACACACACACATACACACACACACACACACACACACACACACACGCACGCCCACACACACACACACACGCACGCCCACACACACACACTCACGTTCACGGCTGCCTGTCTGCAGTGTGGATGTGTATGGGATCATCAAGGCGCTGCGGAGTCAGCGGGCAGGAATGGTGCAGACACCACCGCAATACCTCTTCTGCTTCCAGGTCAAACCAAACCATATGCACGTGCACATGATGTGTGTTTGTGTGACTGACCTTATCTCACCAACTGACTCTCCCGTCTTGTCGTTTTTCAACACCAACACCAGGCGCTCGCCCATCTGCTGGCAATGCGGAGACGTTGATGTGACGACCACATGTGTTGCGTCACGCGGATGCACATAGAACAAAGTGACACAGCAATTCTTTCGGTGCACGTGCGTGTTTTGCAAACACACTTTCTTGGTCGCTGTTGTTAACTGCTCCCAAATGAGCCATTTTCGCATTGTTTTCGTGGATTTCAAGAAAAGATGTCACACAACAAAAGCATGCAGGAAGGGGTTTCAAGAAGAAACAAACAACACGTGTCGCCGTGTCGCAACGAGCACATCGCATCACACACACACACACACACAAAGTCACACACACACACATCGCATCACACACAAAGTCACACACACACACACACACACACACACACACACACACACACACACGCACAGACAGACAGACAGACACACACACACACACACACACACACTTCCTTTATGCGTGTGCGCCGCCATACACATCAAAGCCGCCGGGAATCTCGGCAGTGGCGTAGTCCGACTCAGCCTCCATCGCGGCCGTCGCGCCGTTGTCGCTGTCTGCACTTGGCGAACCATACACGCCAAACAGGTCTGGCGCAGGGTTGCCACGCGGGTTCTTGCCAATGTTGATGTTGACGTTACCCTCCTCCGTGGTCGTGCCATCGTCATCGCCTGCGCTGCCGTACACTTCAAATCCGCCAGCGGGCGTCTGTGCCGTCGCGTACACAGCATCGTCGTCATCGTCGTTGGCGGTGATGTCGTAGTTGGCCGGGTCCCACCGCTCCGTGTCTTGCGACGTATCATTGCCCACATCGTACGTGTTCTCGGGCTTGCTCGTCGACCCTGTGTGGTACAGCAGCGTTATTTCATGGCGTAGGTGTATGTGTGAGTGTGTGAATGTGTGTGTGTGTGTGTTTGCGGCTACACACGCCGATGATTATGTGCATGTGTGTGTGCGTGTGTGCGTTGTTGCTCACACGTACACACACATGCATGTGTGCTTGTGTGAGCACCTCGTTACACATTGTAACCCAACAAACCTCCAACACCATCTCCACTCATTCTCCACACTTTCCCAACGTCGCACCTCCGTTGATGTCGTTGACATCCGAGTACGTCATTTCGCCTGGTAACTCCGCTGTAAATTGAACAGGCGTGCACACAACAATGTCGATGTGAGCAGGTGGCAACGCGCCTTGTTGAGCCACGCATGCCTGCATGCATTCAACAGGCCAACTTACTCAGTTGCGTTTCCTCCAGATCGGCGTACATGGCGTCTTGCACCGTCGCTGTCGTCGACACACACACATGTGCAAATCAAAACGCAGGAAACACGCGTGTTCGTCAGCGATCATCTGAGTGAACGTGCAACACACACCACAACGACACAAGAGTAATTACGCGCGCACACACACGGGCACAAGCGGTTCAACTCACGCTCCAAGTACACGTTGGTTTGCATCGGCTGAGATTCAGTGAAGAGCGGCCATGAGATGCAGGCAGAGGCACGATGTGAGTGACAGCTGAAAGTGCAAACAAACAAACGCCCCCAAGACATGCGCACGTATCGTATCGTTGCACGTGTGCACATACCTGACGAAGCGTGGGCATGAAGGGCAGGTAGGCGTTGGACAGCGCCGCCTGTTGTTTCGGAAAGCAAGACGTCACGCAACAGCAATAACAATAATGGCGATGACAACAGTGTCAGCAAAGGATCAAAATAGCGCGTGTGTATTTGTGTGTGTGTGTGTGCCTGCATGCACGGCCATGATACGAAGAACGCATGCGTGCGCGTCATTCCATTCCCGCCATGCCTGGCTCTCATCACACCTGTGGCACAGGGTTGGCGTTGCTTGCGGCCTGCTGGCACATGCGAAGAATCTCCCGCATCGACTGGATTGAAGCAAACGTTGCGTTTGAAATTGGAGCATGAGCGATGTGCAAATGATATCGAAAGCGATGGTATCGAACACGCACACATACAAACATACATACATGCATACATACATACATACATACATACATACAAACATACATACATACATACATACATACATACATACATACATACATACATACATACATACATACATACATACATACATACATACATACATACATACATACATACATACATACATACATACATGCATACATGCATACATACATGCATACAAACATACACTCACACACACACACACAAACACGAATTCAGCATTCAAGTATTACCGGGCGCGTTGCTGCTGGCACGACGCAGCAGCGCTGAACAATGTCAAACAGCTCTGATGGGATGAGTTGCAGCATGAGGGGCGGGTTGCCGCGACGAAGAGCGACCTTGAAATCCTCTACACGCGCACAGCAATGAAGCGGCGTGAGAGGTCAGTTGTGCATTTGCCATGCAATATTGCCTGCAGGCACGAGAGTCGTCGTGAGACCAATCACTGACATTGCTCGTACCGTTCATGTAGGGTGTGGCGCCAAGCGAAAAGATTTCCCAGAGCAAAATCCCAAACGACCACGCATCACACGCCGGCTGTGATGAATGTAAGAGCATATGTGTGTGTGTGTGTATGTGTGTGCGTGCGTGTGTGTGTGTGTGTGTGTGTGTGTGTGTGTGTGTGTGTGTGTGTGTGTGTGTGTGTGTGTGTGTGTTGAGGGGGAGGGCGTGGAAAGTGAGAGAGGAAAGACAACCCGCACACACACACACACACACACACACACACACACACAAGCATACACATTCGCACAAACAAGCACACGCACACACGCATGTACGCAAGCATACACGCACGCTTACAAACATATACACGCCCAACACAAGTGCACGCGCAAAGCACAATGCCCCTCACGGTGTGTTTGGCTGTGGGATCGGTGACGAGCTCCGGTGCGCACCAGCGAAGAAGGAACGCGCCGTCCGCGTGCGCGTCTGCGATTGCGGCACCATCGTGCTCCGCCAGAGACAGCTGCATGTGGGATGGAGGCATGTGAGAAGGGGCGGGGGACAATAAGCGCAATGGTGTCATCAATTTCCAGTCAACAGACGCAAGGTGACGCCGCTTGACACATCCACAAGATGTCACAAAAGCAACAACAACAACAACAGTATCAGCAGTAACGGTATCAGCAAAAGCAGTAATGGTACATAGCAGTGTCAGCAGTGTCAGCAGCAGCAGCACACCTTCCAGTTTGGGTCGGCGCCAATCAGGTGAACGACAGCACTGTGGATTGAAAGATTGAAAGATTGAAAGCAGGAAGAAGCAACGTGCAGATGAGCAATTCACATGTTACATACAGGCAGGGCATGCTGTCCCGAAGGCAAAAAACAAGGAATGCAATGTGACACGCGGCTCAAACGTACCCTCGTGTGCACGAGTGGACAATGCCATGCTTGTGAAGCCATACAAGCGCCGATGCAACCTGGACGCCGATTCGTGCGCGCTCAGCCAGCGAAATGCCCTAAAGGGTGGATGGACCAACAAAGTGGGGTGGATTTTGTGTTAGCCACAAACAGAGAGTCGGCACATCGCGTCAACGCAATGCCAATGAAGAATGAATCGTCCACACACGCACAGGACACATGGTTGACATGGGTGACGTGTGATGCACAAACACAGAAGAGGAAGAACACATCTTGTTCTCGTGTTCTCTACTCCCCCTCATACAAGCAAATCACACACTTGCACACCTCCGGGGCGGCGTTGCTCTTTGAACGGCATGCGCGCAGTCGCTCATCAAGGGCGACGGTTGGCGCCGGAACACATAACCGGTGCTGACCCAGGTCACACAGAGCAGCCCTGAACAAACGCACACAAACACACACACACATGAGCACGCACACACACACACACACACAAACACATGAGCACACACACATGAGCACACACACGCACACATGAGCACGCACACACACACACACATGAGCACACATGCATGTGCACATGGCCACGAATATCAAGACCGTGAGGATGAGGGTGGTGTGTTACGCAAGACAGCGGTTACTCGCGACGTGCAAGCAGCAACACGCGGCCATGTACCCAATGATGGAGTCTGGTAGTGTTTGCTTTCCAAGTTGCTGGAACAGACGAATGTCCTGTTGGAAAACACAATGCAGGTTCTCATGAGCATCAGGCGAAGCTGCCGGCACACACACACATGCAAGCAAGCAAAGCACACAGGCATGCAAACAAAGCACACACGTGCATGCAAGAAAAGCACACAAGCATGCATGCAAGCTCAAGACATGGGCCATGAAGACAATCAATAAGCACCTTCTCGAAACAGTCACGCAGGAGTGTGGACGCGCCAGGCCTGAGCGTGTAGCACCACAGCTGACGACCCTGAGTGCGCGGGTATGAAACAGAGGAAGCAGGTGTGACATGCAGCGTGGCGAGCAGTTAAAATGATCACAGGCTGTGGAGCTGTGACACAAACGTGCACACAAACAAACAAACAAACAAACATTCACACATGTTTTAACAACACACACGCGCACCTGGTGCTGGGCGAGCTTTACGGGTCCGTAGTAGGAGGAGAAGGGCGCGTCGGTGAGATCAAGGTTGTTCATGTCAAGCTCGTCGTATTTGCCGACGGCATTGCGGCGGCGGCGGCGGCGGCGGGGGCGGATGACAAGGAAGAAAAGGAGAAGGACGATGATGATGACAGCGCCACCACCAGCAGCACCGGCGATGGGGATGATGGAGGTTGATGTGCTTGGCGCGATGGTGACGGGCACGGAGGTGGACGTGCTCATGGTTTGCGGGATTGGCGGCTTCTTGGGCTGGGTTGTTGTCGTTGTTGATGATGCAGTTGTCGTGGTTGTGACAACGGTGGTTGTCGTTGTCGTTGTCGCAATCGTTGTGGATATGGGAGTTGTCGTTGTGGTGGTGGTTGTCGTGGTGGTGGTGAATGTTGATGGTGACCGCGTCGTGAGTTTCTCTGTACACATGTTGCCGACGTTGTCGCCAAACTTGCTGGCGTTGTGGGTGATGACAAACGCTGAGCCAGACGTCAGGCGTAGGGACGAGCCGGGCTGCCATGTGAAGCTCCGCACCACCGTGTTCATGTCCACGCGTATGTCGTACGCCGGCCCGCCTTGTATCAGCGTGCTGCGTGCGTGCTGATCCGTGCACGGCACGCTGCTGCCCTCCCACTTGCCGTTGTCATCCCAATCGCCATTTTCCCGCCTCGTCCACACAACTGAATGTAAAGTCAGCCAAGGAAGAGAGAGAATGTGTGTGTGTGTGTGTGTGTGTGTGTGTGTGTGTGTGTGTGTGTGTGTGTGTGTGTGTGTGTGTGTGTGTGTGTGTGTGTGTGTGTGTGTGTGTGTGTGTGTGTGTGTGTGTGTGTGTGTGGCGGGAGAGGAGGCGGTTCAGGTTGACTTGCGTGTTCGTGCGGGATGGTGCGATGTTGGCAAACAGTGCACACGCACACACGCACACACACACACACACGCACACACACACGCACATGCACATACACACATACACATACCTGGTGCTTCGCGTTGGATAACGGCTGACTTGCGAGCAACGACACGATCGGAGCCAGTGCCGCTGGCAACCTCGAGTGTGAGGCGCGTGGAGGGCGTGTTGTCCAGGGCAACATCGCCAATCCACTCCGTGCCGGTGACATTGATGCTGTGCGCGCCATCGTTGACCTGCAGAATGCCCTCACTGCTGGGCGACCACACGGCCTGGAACGACGTGGCAGTGAGATCCGTGGCGAGAAAGGTGTCAATCACGGGGCAGGGCTCTGCCCGCGGCACACGAGAGAGCACCAGGCGCCCGCCCTGGTTGAGGCGAAGCGGCGTGTCTGGCGAAAGCGTCAGCTGGGTCATGCGCGCCTGAGGGAAGGTGTGATGTGAGGGGGGGGGTTGATGCATATGAGGCGTTGCGTGTTGGACTCAAGACAAACACGTGGGCAAGTGTGGTCATGGTTGAGCGTGAGCTGACACCAGCGCAGAGAAAAGCCGGGGAGAGCGTGCCAACGACAGGGTGAGTTGCACAGTGGAAACGGTGAGCGCACAACGCAACATTCTTGTACCTCGACAGATTCTTGGATGGTGGTGGCGTGGGAGACGATGGCTGCTTCGCACGTGCACGGGGCGCGACCGACACTCCACGCGTCCGTGGAGTTCCACACCAACGCCGCGCCTCCAGGCGAGGCTGTCGTCACGACTGTACGCGTGTGTGCAACACAGCAAAGCAACAGAACAGGACACATGAACAGTAAGCATCAGCCATGTGTGTGTGTGTGTGTGCTGCGTGAGGTGCAGGCAGCCAACAAACAGACAGGTAGACTGTCCTCCCACATACATGAACAAAGAAGGACAGTGCATTCATTCGCTTCAGCGAGTATAGGAGTATGTCCACTGTTGTGCACACAGCGGGAGAGATCGGGCCACACCTGGCGCCCCATCAAGGCTGTCGCACACATCGTTTTCAGCAGCACACAGCCGCGCTGGAACCACGGTGAGGAGCAAGAAGACAGCAAGAAGGATGTGGTGGAGAAGGGGCGGGGTGACAAAACGCCTGAAGGAGCAACAACAAGCAGCAGCCATATCCGCCGCTCGTTTTGTTTTGTGTGGTGGAAAGAGTGCTTCTTGCTTGCTTGCTTGCTTGCTTGCAAGCACAGGAACACTGAATTTAGGGTGGTGCTTGCTTGCTTGTTGTGTCTATTGTCAGAAAGAAAGAGGACAGGAAGAGGAGATCAAGGACACATGATGTGACACGATGCAGAGGACAGCATCTGTGACACACACACACACACACACACACACACATTCACACATATTCACCTGGTATCGTGAGGTGTAGGAACGGAAAGCAGTGCACAAACATCACGTGGTGAAAGACAAAAACAAAAAGGGGGTGATCTACTTCTTCTTCCTCGAATCCTGCTCTTGCTTGTACTTGTCCATCAGCTCCTACAGTTGTGTGCATGTTTGTGTTGATTTGCACTATGAGCGCAAAGGGTAGCACGGAAGCGTGCGGATAAACATACATACACACACACACACAAACACACAAACACACACACACACACACACCACACAACATTGACCCGCCTGACGTACCGCTTGCAGCTGTGGCGGCACGACCTCGTGGCGTGCGTACTCCATGGTGAACTCGCCCTTGCCCTGCGTGTTGGCGCGCAGATCAGTGCTATATCCAAACATGTCGTTGAGGGGAACCTGTACAAGTGTGATTGTGGTTGTGGTTGTGTGCGTGTGTGCGCTACGTGTCAGCGAGTGTGCAGTGCAGACTCACAGATGGGTGGTGAACGAAAAGAAACAAGCAGAGCGAATCGCATGTGCGTAATAACTGGCAATTGGTTGTACACACACACACACACACACACACACGCACGCACACACACACACACACACACACACACACACACACACACACACACGTGTGCCCACCTCTGCGCGGATGGTGGTTGTTCCGTCCTCCGTCTCGCTGTCAAGGATCGTGCCCTTGCGCTTGTTCAGATCGCCAATCACAGTGCCCTGGCAACAAGCCACAAATGCGTATGTGTGTGTGTGTATGGGGGAGAAGTGTTGGCGGTGAGAGAAGGTGATGGAGAAAGGCGGTGTGCAGGTTGGAAGTTGAGAAGGAAGCGAACACGCGCAACCACACGCAACCACACACACACGCAACCACACACACACACACACACACACACACACACACACACGAGCACGCGCGAGTGCCTGATTTCATGCGCCCCACCTGGTATTCCTCTGGCACCATAATCTCAACGGTCATGACAGGCTGCAGGACACAGGGCTGTGCCTTGTCAAACGCTGGATGTACACGCAACACAACAAGAGCAAGCAAGCGAGCGTGTGGGAAGGTCAGAATTTCGAACGAAAGAAAGAGTCGAGCATGTGAGTGTGTGTGCGCCTCTGACTGAAGCTACTTTGCACATCATCATCATCGTCATCATCATCATCATCATCATCATCACTGCACATGGCAAATGGGGAGCCCATACGCTGGCGCCTGGCACCACGACCACCACACGTTCAATTCCTCAATCAGCCCTCCACCCCCTCCCCCCCCCCACCGTTATCCCATATCCCATCTCCGTGCCCAACGACACCGCCGGCGAACCTTGTCTCATGGCGCCGATGCCTGCAAGCTTGAATGCGAGGTCGCTTGAGTCGACGGGGTGGGACGCGCCGTCCTTGAGCACAAACCGGATGCCCTGCGCAGGGTGGCCCGTCAGCGACGACCGCTCGCACGCCTCGAGGAAGCCCTGGATGCGTGTAGTGTTGTGGAATGCGTGTAGTGTTGTGGGTGTTGTGTTGTGTTGTGAATGTAAGGTGAGGAATGGTAAAGTGAGAAGGGGAAGCAAGGGAAGTGTACCTCAGGGAAGTAAACGCAGGCACACGCTAGCAAGTACACGCATACACGCACACGCACACACACACACGCACACACACACACACACACGCACACACACACACCTTCTCGATGGAGGGGATGTAGCTCTTGGGGATGTTGGTGCCAACGGTTTCGTCAACAAACTCAAGCTTGTGATTCTCCTGTCAATACAGCGACAGCAAACAACAGCAGCAGCAGTGGCCCAGAATGCCGACGCGTGAGAGGCGTGACGGAGGAGAAGGTGATGCATTTTGACCATACTCATCCATGACTGCCACCACCATCATCACCATCATCGTCGCCATCAGGGTTATGGGATACCTCGGCTGGGAGGGGCACGATCTCGCCCATGACGCGACCGTACTGACCAGCACCGCCGCTCTGCTTCTTGTGCAGATAGTCGAACCTGGCACGCGGAAGAGACAGGGGGGGGGGTGTTGGTGATGGAGAGGGTGAGTTGGTTAGTGTTCGCGTTGAGGACGATGGCGGACTGATGGCGCTGACATTTGCTGCTCACGAAGCATCACACACACACACACACCTACCAACACACACACACACACACATACCAACACAACCACCACTTCCCACCACATTCGCAAGACACCAAAGCTTGTACTGACTGCATTGGAGTCTGGATGGTCTCGCGGAATGCGACCTTTGGCTTTCCGGTCACCGTCGGGCAGTTGAACTCGCGTGCCATAATCTCCTTGTACACCTGGTGGTGATGATGGTGATGATGATGACGGTGATGATGATGATGATGATGATGATGGTGATGATGATGATGGTGATGATGATGATGATGATGGTGATGGTTGGTGAGTGTACAATGATGATGGTGGTAACGTTGGTTGTTGGAGAGGGTAGAGGATGAGTTGATCACGCAGGTCAGATCAGCGTTGTATCACACACCATCATGTTTTTACTATCACCACCACCACCACCATCACCATCATCATCACCACCACCACCACCATCATCATCATCACCACCACCACCACCACCATCACCACCACCACCATCATCATCATCATCACCACCACCATCATCATCATCCCCATCATCGTACCTCGAGGTGGAGTTCGCCCATGCCGGAGATGATGGTCTCTTTGCTCTCGGGATCAAGATGCACGCGGAACGTTGGATCCTGCACCCGTGCACACCAAAATCAACGTCATCGTGGCAGTGGTGACGTGGTGATGAGGGAGGCACAGTCATCGGACGAGTTGAATGCAGCTCAACTAAGTGTCACACACACACACACGCACACACACACACACACGCACACACACACACACACACACGCACGCACAGTACAACCAAACAACGTGCGCACCTGTCGTTGGAATCTGTTGATGGCCTTGCTGAACGCCTCGAGGTCTTTGCTGTTCTTCGGTTTGATCGACAGCGAAATGACGGGCTCCGGAATGAACCTGGCGTGATACAACGGGGCGTGATGCAACGGGGCGCGATGTGGTAGGGCGTGATGAGGAGTGTGACACCCCAGCAGCACAACTCGTGATGAGCAGAACGCTGGTTGATGATCGCGTCGTGGCGCATGCGTGTGCATGTGTGCGTGTATATGCGTGTGCGTGTATATGTGTGTGTGTGCGTGTATATGTGTGCGTGTGTATATGCGTGTGCATGTGCATGTGTGTGCTTGTGCACGCGTGTGCTTGTGTATGTGTGCGTGCGTGTATATGCGTGTGCGTGTATATAAATGGATGTGTGTGTGTGTGTGTGTGTACATGTGTGTATGTCGGCACGTACATGGACTCCATGGTGAGTTTCTTCGTTCCGTCGGTGAATGTGTCACCGGAAGAGCACTCCAGTCCAAACATGGCGCAAATCTCGCCAGGGTGCACCTACACGTGGAAGTAGGGGGGGGGGATTGATGACGGCGGTGGTGATGACAGGGTGACACACACACACACACACACACACACACACACACACACACACACACACACACACACACACACACGTACACACACACACGTACACACATACACATATACACAAGCACGTATACACACACATACATACACATGCACGTATACACACACATACACACCCCTCCATCCCCCCTCCGCCCTGTCGCGTACAGTGCTCACCTCATTAACGTCCTCCATGGAGTCTGCGTGCATGCGCACCAGTCGGGGCACCTTCACCTTCTTCTTGTCGCGCGAGTTGTAGATGTTGTCTCCGCGCCGCAGCGTGCCTTGATACGTACGCAGATACGTCAGCTGCCCAAACTGCCCGCGCTCGAGTTTGAAGGCCAGCCCGACAAACGGTTTGCTCGGGTCCTTGCAGTCAAGGTCCACCTTGGTCGACTCGTCGTCCACATCCAGCGCATAGTTGGACACCTGGAGGGAGAGGGGAGGAGGGGGTTGGTTTGGTGTGGAAGGTTGGTTTGGTGTTGATGAGAAGGGGGGGAGGAGGGGGGAGGTTGAGGTGTAGGGGAGGCGGACATGTGTTGGGGGCGGGGGTGAAGATGGAATCATGCTGGTAGTGACAGACAGACAGGCCATGCATCGAACATAAGAAGCAGCACGCCGACCTGGTCTGGGGACGGAAGGTACTCAAGAACGCCATCAAGCATGGGCTGCACACCTGCAGTGGCCAACGGTGGCGGTGATGTCATGTGTGAGTGGTGATGGTGTGAATTGGGATGGGATACACAGTGGGCGATGGAGGCAGCATGCACCACAACATGCACGCACACAACACCGCCACCACCACAGTAGCAACAACAACCAAACAGCACATCACCACAACATGCACGCACACAACACCGCCACCACCACAGCAGCAGCAACAACAAGCAAACAGCCACGATCACCACAGTAGCAACAACAACCAAACAGCACATCACCACAACATGCACGCACACAACACCGCCACCACCACAGCAGCAGCAACAACAAGCAAACAGCCACCATCGCACAGCACGACAATGCCCCCGCCCCCTGATCGTACCGATGTTCTTGAGGGCGGTGCCGATGAAGACCGGAACAAACGTCCGCTCCAGGACAGACTTGCGAATTGCCGTCACAATCTCCTCTGCAGTCGGAGCCACGTGTGGATGGATGGATGGGTGGATGAGGGGGTGAGGGGTGTGGGAAAGGAAGGCAGTGCGTGTAGGTGAAAGTGAGATACAGTCACACATCGGGTGGACGATTGCAATCATGGCCATGACAGCGGGGCGCGTGTCTGGAATTGCAATTGGCATGTGCATGATTGCGGATGATGCGTCCACCTTCGGATGGGTCCTCCTCCAAGATAAACTTCTCTGCAATGTCATCATCCACCTGAGCACACAAAAGCACGTGAAGGCGCGCGTCAATAATGTACGTGTACATGTGTTTTCACGCAAAAGCCAAGCAGCTAGCTGCACACACACACACACACACACACGCACGCACGCACGCGCGAGTTTGCGTGCGCACCTCTGCGATTGCTGCGATCATGTCGTGCCGCTTCTCTGCGTACATGTCCTTGAGGTCTTTGGGGATCGGGCCCTCCTCAACCACGTTCCTGCGCGAACACACGAGCAGATGGAGAGATGTACGATGATGAAGGAGATGAGGGGGTGGACAGAACAACGTGGAGTGTCATGTTAGGTAACTTGCCAGGCAGTGATACACGCACATCCACCATACACACACACAGACACGTACACACTCGCGTACATCCACCATTCATACACACAGACACGTACACACTCGCGTACATCCACCATACACACACACAGACACGTACACACCCGCGTACATCCACCATACACACACACGCACATCAACTTCATACGTACATCCACCACACACACACACACACATGCGTACACATCACAGAGCACCTCCCTTCCCCTTATGGCAGCATCATGGCAGGTGACGAGCAACGCACCCCTGGACGCCGGAGAAGTAGTATGCCTTGCCCTTGATGAGGTCCACGACTCCCTTCATGTCGCTCTCGAGACCAATCGGTATCTGCACAGCAGCGGCATTGTGCTTCAGCTTCGTCCTAAACGCAGCAGCCACCCAGGGGTCGACGTGATGGTTGGGAGGGAGGGGGTGGTGCATGGTGTTGTTGTGAGAGCTGTGTGGGTTGTATTGCACCTGCTTGTGGCGGGTCACGGTTGCATGTCACACTGAAACCGTGTAACCGAAACACACACGCGCACACACGCACACGCATGCACACACATACACATACATGTACGATGTGTGCGCACCTCATCTGGTGGATGACTTTGAAAGGGTTGGCACCGGGGCGGTCACACTTGTTGATGAAGCCAATGCGAGGCACGTTGTAGCTGCACACAACACGACCATGGTTGGAGCGTGAGGGGCGAGCGGAGGAGCGGGCAACGCAGGCAAAACGCTAATACGATGATTTGTGTGTGTGTGTGTCTGTGTGTGATTGTGTGTGTGTGTGTGTGTGTGCTTGTGGGAATGTGCGTAGTCGCACTCGCACTCACTTACACACTGACTGACACACAAACACACGCGTACACGCTTACACGCTGACACACTTACACGCTTACACACTAACACTTATACAGACACAGAGCAGCAGCGGTTACCGCTTCATCTGGCGATCGACGGTGATGGTTTGGGATTGCACGCCACCAACGGAGCACAGCACAAGCACGGCGCCATCAAGAACCCGCAACGCACGCTCCACCTGTGTGCAGTGAGGCAGCAAGAAGTGGTGTCATGGGATTGTCGTAGTGTTGCTGGTGTGAGTACACGCCGTTGTACCCCAGACGGGCAAAGCAGGGTGGTGGCGTGCGCCACGATGACAGCACTTATTGTGGTGGCCATTGCAATTGTGTCACTGACGGCACGCACCTCGATGGTAAAGTCGACGTGACCGGGGGTATCGATGATGTTGATGTTGCAGTCCTTCCACTGCGTGTATGTCGCAGCGGAGGCGATTGTGATGCCCTTCTCCCTTTCCAGCTCCATGGAGTCCATGGTGGCGCCAACATCATCCTTGCCCCTCACCTATGTGCATTGGTGTGTTGGTGTTAGTGTTAGAGTGAGGGCGAGTGAGTGAGTGTGTGAGTGTGTGTGAGTGTGTGTGTGAGTGTGTGTGTGTGTGTGTGTGGGTTGGTGTTAGTGTGTGAGTGTGTGTGTGAGTGTTAGTGTGTGTGTGTGAGTGTTAGAGTGAGGGCGAGTGTGTAAGTGTGTGTGAGAGTGAGAGTGTGCGTATGTGTTGGAGTGTGCGTCTGTGTTTGCGTGTGTAAGTGTGTGTGTGTGTCAAGCGTTCTGCAAGGCCATTGCAGCGGCAGCGAACTGCAGCCTACTGCAGTACATTACAGCCCGCCAGAGCCAACTGCAGCACAAGACACAATTGCACCTCGTGCATCTCCTTGATGCGGCCAGTGTAGAAGAGGATGCGCTCGGTTAGGGTGGTCTTGCCAGAATCAATGTGCGCAGAGATGCCAATGTTCCGGATCTTGTCAATCGGGTATGCTGCAGCAGTGGCAGCGTCGAAATGCACACACGGTGAGCACAATTGCACATTGAGCAGCGCCATGCAACACGAGGCAGTGGCCAAAGTGGCACCTGAGCGCTTCGTGCACCCACAGTGCACACCCACACATGCGCCCCTTTTCCAATCCATGCACTCAAACAGCCCACTCACAAGCAGCGGAGGACATGGGTGCCAGCTGCTGCAGCAGTGGACCGGGCCATGCCCGTGCCTGCCTGCAAGCATGCGACAAAACAGCACGCAGCAGCATCGCGAGGAAGCGAGCGAGTTCGAAGTGGCCGAAGTGTGTTGATGAAAGTTGCGCCTCGTTGCAGGCACGTGTATGGGACTACTGTTTATGATGTTGTAACAGAGATGTGTCACTGCCGCGCCTTCTTCTTCTTCTTCTTGTGGTGTGCGCTGGTGGTGGTGAGGAGAAGGAAGATGACGCGAACAGCGGCGAGAAACACGACAATCCAGAAGGAGAACAGGGTCCCCAGCAGTGACCAGTCGATGGCGTCGCCCTGTCATGCATGCGTGGTGGTAGTGTTGACGTTGGTGGGAGGGAAATGGATTTGCAGATGCGGACCAAGAAGGCGAGAAAATGTCAACAGCATCATAAACAAACGAACAGCAGAATGCACACATGCAAAGGCAAACACACACATGTACACATGCACATGTACATGCACGTGTACATATGCACGTGCAACGAAGTTAATATGACGTACGAGTTGGAAGAAGGCGTACATCCAGAGGAGGTCGCCAAGGAGACAGGCCTGCACGATGCGGGGTTGCACTGGGACGAACAAGCCAACGTAGGCCATCAACAGGCACATGGCGCCAAACTGCGCCAGGTTGCTCGCTGCCACTGGGTTCTCTGCATCCTCAGCTCGGATCCCTTGCATGCGCATTACGTGATCCGGCCACACCAGCAGCATCAACCCAGACACCGCCAGCAACACCCCTTCCCACCAGAACACCCGCCTGCACCACCCAGAAACAACCGCAGTCATCTTTTTGTTCTGCGTGGATGAAAACTGCTGACTCTGCAATTTTCCGCTGGAGCAAACAGAAGGGCAGATACAGAGCAGCAGACGCACACACCACACGCTCACACCACACGCTCACACCACACGCACACAAGATGTCTGGGAAAGCGAAGCTGATCGCCGTCATCGGCGACGAGGTGTGTGTGTGTGTGTGTGTGTGTGTGTGTGTGTGTGTGTGTGTGTGTGTGTGTGTGTGTGTGTGTGTGTGTGTGTGTGTAAGCGAGAGAGGGGAAGCAGCACAGTGTGTGTTTCGGCAACACTCCACAACAACAAACACACCCCACCTCACACACATTCGCGCACGCGCACACACACACACATTAACACCAACGCATTCAGGACACATGCACTGGCTTTCTGCTTGGCGGTATTGGTGACATCAACGCCAGCCGCGAGCCAAACTACCTCGTCGTGACAAAAGGTGAGCTCGTCCTCCACAATGATGCACATACACACACACTCACACACACACTCTCTCTCGCACACACACACACACGCGCGCACACACACACGCACACACACACACTCTCTCGCGCGCACACACACACACACACACATACACACACACACATGCTGCACAGCCACACTCTGCCGACCACACCTCCTTCTCAACCCTTTGCGGTGGTTTCAACGACGGGTTGCTTCCTCTGCTCCTTTCCCTGTGCGCGTCTTCTTTTGCTTTTTTGTTTTGTATCGTTACCTCAGATACACCTGCGTCCACGATTGAGGACTCCTTCCGCAAGCTTGTGACCCGCGACGACATTGCCATCATCCTCATCAACCAGAGCGTGCGTTCATACACATGTGTACACATGTATCAAATGCACGCACACATGCACACACACACACTCTCTCTCTCTCTCTCATGTTTCAAGCACACATTGTGCACACACACACACACACGCACACGCACACACGCACACACACGCACACACGCACACACGCACACACACCCTTCTCCCTCGCTTGTGCAGATTGCGGAGGAGATTCGCCACTTGCTCGACAGCCACACCGCTGCCATCCCGGCTGTTCTCGAGATCCCCTCCAAGCACCAGCCATACGACAGCAGCAAGGACTCCATCCTCAACCGCGCACGGGTGCGTTGTTGTTGTTGTTGTTGTTGTTGTTGTGTGTGTTTGATGTGTGTGCTGTGTGTGTGTGATGCGTGCGTTGTTCACTAGCACCTCTTCAACACAGGTTTCCACTCATCCCCCCCCCCCGCTAACATCTCCATCCCCTCTTCCCCATACTTGCTCCCCCCCCCCCCCAAACAACAACAGGGCATGTTCAGTGCTGAGGACTTTAGGTAATTGCATCCTACAACGCTTCCCCCCCCCCGTCACCCACAACAGCCCCTCCTCATACACACACCATCCAAGTCGTTATATGCTTCCAAGATCATGTGTGCATGTATATGTGTCACGCTCGCTTGCTTTCCTGGTGTCACTGTCTGCCGATCCATTCCCCGATCACCCAACACCACTCAACAACAACAACAACAACAACACACGTGTGACAACAGCAAGCCTGCCACCCATTGCTCCCTCCGCCAACTCTCCCCCCTCGCACTTGCAAGTCCCTTTAGTGAACGTAAAAACAAACACGAAGGCAAGCCAGCCATACACGTAACCACACGCACACACACACACACACACATGCGCACTGTTGGTGCTGCTGCTGCTGGTGCTGCTTACGCGCCCCTTCCCCTCCCGCCACTGAGATGATGGTGGTATATGGTGAGATGACGCAGGCACAAGTGCAAGTGGTGAGAAACACGATCGAGTGTATCCAGGCAGACAAAGAGAAAGTGAGAGAGAGAGAGTGTGTGTGTGTGTCTGTGTGTGTCTGTGTGTGCGTGTGAGACGCACACACACATGCACAACATGACATACGCACGCACACATGCACACACACACATACATGCACACACACATGCACACACCGCTTTGCTTTTCGTTTGCCGCGCTTTGAGGACTGTGGCGATGGCGAATGCGCCTGCCGTCTCTTTGCCTTTTTCTTCTTCTCCGCCTGGCAATAGACGCACATGGGAGAGGGGATGAGAAGGCGGATGTATTCACGGGATACAAGTGGAGACAGTCCTGATGTACACACCACAGACACACACAAACACACATGCAATGCACACTTTTGACACATACACATCCAAACACACGTGCATACACATCGGAACATACACATATGCGCACACACGCGCACATATGCGCACACACGCGCACACATACGCACCACGACTGCCTCCTTTCCAAGGAAGAGCGGAGATGTGAGGGAGGTGTTGCTGAAGATGCGCTCTCGGTCGGGAAACGATTCCAGTGGCTGCTTCACATCACGCGGCCTGCACGCACACACATGATCGCCATGCAGCAGCACATGTGATCAACGGGCATCAACACTCTGGCGAACCCATCCACGACAAAACACCCACACACACACACACACACACACACACACACACACACACACACACACACACACACACACACACACGCGCGCGCGCGCATGCACGCACAACACACACGCACACACACACGCACGCGCACGCACAACACACACACACACACGCACAACACACACACGCGCACAACACACACACATGCACGTACAACACACACACGCACACACACACACATGCACGTACAACACACACACACGCACTTGTTCTCGAGGTAGCCCTGGAAACCGCGGACATATGTTCCCCATCGGTTGGTCGCATTCAAGTACGCTGTCTCCTTGTCGAAGATCTGCACCGCAGGGACGACAGCGGTCAACGACTGCGAGCAACATAAAACATCACACACACACACATCACACACACACATGCACATACATCACACACACACACATGCACACATGCACGCACACACACACACACACACACTCATCTACAGCCACACATGCACGCATGCACACACATCTTCAACCACACATGCACGCATGCACACACACACACACACCGACCTTCTTCTCGATGGCTTCGAGGTCCTCCAACGCCTTCTGTCGCGAGATGGCCGCCTTCTCCAGCTTCGACCGTTCAGTCTCGTCCGCCTTCACCTGCTTCTTGGCCGTGGACCCCAACACCGGGAGCGAAGCCGCCGCAGCCGCGAGTGCTGCTGATGGCACTGACGACGCTGATGATGACGCTGACGACGAGGAGTGGTTGTTCGAGGCTGTTCCAGCCGCTGCCTTTGCGCCTGTTTTTCCCCTGCCCTTCCCTGTGTGTGAACTGTTGCCGCTGTTGTTGTTCGTGGACGCGCGCCGAGACGACGCCGCTGTCCCTGCTGTCGATGACGCCGCCGATGTGTCGCGCGTTGACTTGGTCCTCCCCCTCGCCTTGCCCTTGCCTCGGCCGCTGTCGTTTGCTGCTGCTGCTGCTGTTGATGCTGCCCGCTCCCGCTTCGGTGTTGCGCTCCCCTTCTTCCCCTTGCCCTTTCCTTTCCCCTTTCCTTTCCCCTTGCCCCCGCCCCTCATCGCGCACCACCACCAGCCGTATCAGCCAACCGCACAATGCGTGCGTGTGTGTGTGTGTGTGTCCGTGGTGCGGTCGCGCGAAGCGAATCAATAAGGATGGAAGGAAGGAAGGAAGGATGGATGGATGGATGGATGGATGGAGGGAAGGAAGTCCACCGCGCACCAACAACCGCTGCTGCTGTTCCGCCTGTATCCTGTAAACGTGTTGAGCGTGTTTTTGCCCCACTCCCCCTCCCCAAACAGCGCAGTCAGCACAGACGCGGATTGCTTCACTGTTTTGATTGCTTCATGGACACAACCTACGACAAAGACCACGACCGCACATCGTATCACCTGCAGCTCAACTTGCACTTGCACGCGAGCAAGCACGTCAGCTAGCAACCAACAAGGGAGAGATGACCATGATGAAGGCTGCGCTGCGAGCCGCAGCGCTCAGCTCCTGCGCCGTTGGGGTCGCAGCAGCGGCAGCCACCATCAATAATGGCCGTGCCAGTGGCACCAGCCTTGCCTTCAGCACCACCACCACTGCCACCGCCACCAGCAAGAACAGCGGTGCACAGCAGCGGTCAAGGATGGCAGCAGCCGCGAGCGGTGACGGCAGTGGCAGTGCCACTGCACAGGAACAGCCGCTATCACAGCAACAGCAGCCGCAGTTTAAGAAGGCCATCGTCATCGGCGGCGGTGTTGTCGGCGTCACCACGGCGGCCGAGCTGGCAAAGCGCGGTATCCAGGTGAGACGGGTGCGCACATGCTGGCATCTATCACACGTGCACGATCATTCTCCCTCCCGATCGCACGTGTGCACGTACGCTCACGCCAATCTCCGACATGCCAACACACACACACGCACACACACACACACATACACACATACACACACGCACACACGCACACACGCACACACATGCATCACCATTCATGGGTTTAGGTGACGCTGATTGAGGCTGGATCCGGGTTTGCGAATGAGTGCAGCTACGCCGCTGCTGGTGGGATGCAGGTGAGCGAAACACGGTGCAGCTGCACAGCTGCCGTACATGCACGCGCTATTATTCTCGTGCGCTCTCACGTTTGCTTGCCATTGATCGCTTCTGACATCCACATGCATATGTATGGATTACGTGTCTGCCTCCGTGCCTGTGCATCTACGCCTGGTATTGCGCCGATGATGTGACAGCGGACCAACCCTCAAGTGAACCGAGACAGCTGGCGTGCGACGGTCAAGTCATGGCTTGCGTCCCTCAACCCCTTCAGAGCAAACGACGCTCCTCTCCCCGGCGTATTCATCTCTCCAAAGGTGTGTGTTGTGTGTTGTGTGTTGTGTGTGTAACCGCAAGCGTCATCATCTTGGCTTCATGCCTGCGACTATGATGACCACAGATCCCAACACACACAGTCACACAGCCACACAACCACACAGCCACACAGCCGTACAGCCGCACACATATGCATGCATGCACGCAGCCACGCCACCACCTCACCACCACGACCTTTGCTCTCCTGTGCAGGTGATGTTTGATCCCCAGTTCCGTCGGTGGTTCCGCTTGTTCACCGTCAGCAGCCTCTACCGTTCGCAGGAGGACCAGGTCAGTGGCGTGGAGAGGAGCGGGGTGTGAGAGGTGGTGATAGTGGGAGATGTGTGCATATGTGTGTGCATATGTATGTGCATGTGTGTGTGCATGTGCGTGTGTGTGTGTCTGCATGAGGCTGCTGTTCTGTGAGCCGGTGTGCTTTGAATGTGCCACTTTGGATGTCTGCGCTGACTTTGCCACAACGTGACACCCTCACACATATACACATGCTCTGACCAGGCGTACCAAACGCAACACATGCTCGACTTTACCGACTGGGCCGTCGACAGCATCTTGAACGTCATGCACGGTTGGTCACACGTCGCGCGCGCGTGTGTGTGTGTGTGTGTGCGTGTGTGCGTGTGTGTGTGTGTGTGTGTGTGTGTGTGTGTGTGTGTGTGTGTGTGTGTGTGTGTGTGTGTGTGTGTGTGTGTGTGTGACTGTGACTGTGTCTTTATCTGTGTGTGACTGTGTGTCTGTGTTTACCTGTGTGTGTCTGTGTATTTATCTGTGTGTGTCTGTGTGCTTATCTGTGTTGTCACGCTTCCATCCTCAACTTTGCCCCCAATCCACTCTGTTAGAGGACGATGGGTTTCTCGCAAAAGCGGCAAATCTCAACACAACAGGCGCTCTCAAGGTGTGTGAGCATGCATGCAAGTGTGTGCACGCGTGCTGCGCGTGTTGCATGCCGTGTGCTTGTCGGTTTTGACATTGTGGCTGGTAACTGAGCATTCGACACATGCATCCAATCACATGCACCCCTTCCACACACCCCATCCCCCACCATCGCCACCAGCTGCTGTACGATGAGTGTGATCTTGATCCCGAGCGCCACCGCATGTTCAATGGACGGGAGCCGTGGGGATTCGTGCAGAAGCAAGGTGCTGGCGACGACGTGGGCTGGGATGAACGCTACTTGCTGTGCAGTGCATGTAGTCACGCAGCCCATGCCTTCAACCCACGCTTTCACGTGCTATGCTTCCGTTTCAAAGTGACCTCGCCCATCCCTCCACGTTGTTGTTTCTCACCAGCCCTCATCACGACTGTCAACCATCACACCCACCACACTCCACATCACCACCACCATCACCACCATCACCACCATCACCACCATCAGATCTTGCCACGGTTGAGCCGAGTCTGACGTCGTTCCGTCCGCCGCACACACCGCCGTGTGGCGCCATCATCCAGTACAGAGCTGCACAGGCACACTGCGCACGCTTCACAAAGGTGACTATGGTGGTGGTGGTGGTTGTATTGTTTGGTGGTGGTGATGAACTACATGCTTGTTTTCAAAGCACCGGCTTGCTTCTGCTTGCCTCAACACTCGTTCCAATCACCACCGCTTTTACCGCCTCCACCACCGCTGTTGTCGTGATCAGGCGTTTGCTGAGCGGCATCTGGAGGGCGTGGAGGTGCAGACAGACACGCGCATCAAGGAGTTGACGCTGAGCGACGATGAGACGCGTGTTGCCGCAATCACCACCGAAGACAGGTGCAGTCGATATGGGCGACCGGTGTTTGCTGCTGTTTTCAACTGGGGCACATGTGGTGTGATGAGATTGCTGTCTTTTGCCCGTGTCATTCAGCGCATGCACGCATCATGCACGTTGGCACGCATCATGCACGTTGGCACGCTCTGAACGTTGTGCCAGCCACACTTCCAACCACTGACACTCACACGTGCACGCTCACGCATGCGCCCTCACGTCCCACTCAAATACGCACGCAGGACCATTGACGTTGGCGCGGACACAGTGGTGGTGCTGGCTGCCGGGTCCTGGACACCAGTTCTCTCGCGAACGGCGGGGCGATTTGTGCCGGTGTATCCCATGAAGGGGTACACGCTCCTCGCAAACGCAGCAGACGCTGACACACAGCAGGGTGAGCGGGCACGTGTGTGTGTGTGTGTGTGTGTGTGTGTGTGTGTGTGTGTGTGTGCGTGTGTTTGTGAGTCTGTGCGTGTGT